AAAACACGCGCGATAAAGGTAGGTTCATCTTTTATTCATGTTCTAAACGGATGTGAGGGCTCCCTGTGTAACGGTTAGCATGGAAAAAAGGTCATAACGCTATTGATCTTAAAGTTGTAGGATCACTCGTTTCTAAATAAATGTCTTTCTATAATAAAACGGGTAGACAACATATAGTTTACATGATCTTTTTTAGCACATTATCTCGTTAAAAAGAATGAAATCACCGAATGTAGACAGCAGGCGTTTTATACCAAAAAATTTCTAACTAAATTAAAAACGAGGAGCCACTCACCCGCTCCATACCATAAAAATGTGTTCATTCCGAAAAAGAAAAGGCTCCAAAATTCTTTCAAAATCGTACCTTCTTGGCACTTCGTTAAATATGTAAATTATTTCCCTCTAACTTCAAGTGAAATATCATTGTTATCTGAGTTTGTGACATTAAGGAGCAAATATAATCGTGTTAACTACCTGGTGATTGCTGCTTAACTGCTTCCTGTGGAGGGCTTGTTACTTTTGCTGCAGGCTGCAACAACAAAATATTCTGTCGTAGAAAACATGTATCTTGTGATGTTTCGGGACAAAATTGCCATCAAATCGATGCAAACATCAAAATGTCAGTAAAATAACGTAGAAAAACACTAAGGAGGTTAAACTAAATCAAAATAAAACAAGGATGGTTAAAATTGGGAAAGATTGAGAAGGACTGCGCAAAATGGTCTTGCAAAAGTGAGGCTGTACTTTGAGAAGCATCATCCGCGAGGTCGAGCAATATGGTCGAGTTGAACAACTTCAAACACGCGGCAGCAGCGACTGATTTCCCCGCACAAAATGTATAGTGTAATCTGGTACGTGGCACTACGTCGCCGGCAAATAGTCTGTAATTTCACTCGGTGACAAGATAGGCTTTGTGGCGCTGAGAAACTGAAAATTTTAGAGATTGCTTTGGTTTATTCTATCGTTGTTATAACTGATGGGTCACAATGCGCAAGACTCCTGAAAAAAATCAAGTGTTTTCACTGAATTTCCACAGCAGTTGATTATCTCTGCACGACTGGCTCATAAAAACAGCTCGACAATTAATTTTATTCCACACTTCAAAGATTAAACTGAAAAATTCAAAGAAATCTTTCTTAGTCTTTCTATTCTACATTTTCAGCCATTTCAAGGAATATTGATGCAAAAGTTTTTTGTACGTTTTAATTCAGTCACTCACATATGATCAGTGTAACTATCTCAAACTCCAGCTGTCAATTTTACTCAAAATTCTAAGGCGACCTATATTTATTCTATTTTACTTTTTATACTTACCAACGTTGCAGGTTTATTCGCAGCCTGTTCGACAGACTCTTCTTTTACAGTCGTCGGCAAAAACGTTTTACTGTCTGAGGCGTCAAGTTTTCTACTGGCTTGTCTAACAGGTTTTAACGGTTTGGGTTGGATGGATCTAGCCGGCTTAACCGGTTTTTCCTCAAGGACTTTCCTGCGTTCTCTTCCGTGGCGAGAACATACGTGAGAAGTGGCTCTGTTGCTCGAAGTCGTTGGAGGTGTTGGAAGTGTGAACACGCGACTGGCATCTGTAACAAGAAAAAGCAGTTCACCGCTTGCTTGAATGATTATAGTAACTTTCCTCTGTCTTGATATCTGCTGACATTCATGTTCAATTGCAGAGAGCCCGGCAAAACCGATAGAAAACAGAAGACGCGCGCAAAGCGGGAATCACGATCGCCCGAGAATTGGAGAGTACACATGATCCACTCCAATTCTCTCTTTATTTTTTCTGTATTTGCTCTTCATCTCTTCCGTCACGTTTCTATGGCTGTACACAGTCCACTGTACTAAGCAATTCAAAAAACTCGGGCTGAATGCTCCAGCCAATCAATGCACAGATGCTACTTTCTCAGCCAATCACATGCAAAGCTATAAACCAATCGCAATCTTCCAAGATTTGAAGTCGATTTATCAAGATCTCAGAAAAATCATTGCAGAATTTGCAGGACTGTTGTAGGAATTCCAGGGTCCTTTACGAGGTTGGTGAGAATCTTGACGATCCTCGAAGATCTATGTAGAACATTGAGGAGTTTGATCCAGATCCTCAAACATCTGCAGTAAGATCTTAATGTAGATCTTTAAGGCTATACAAAGGTCCTTGAAAGCTTTTCACCTTTATTAGGCCTCTGTCCATCCCATGGCTTTGAGATGGGCAATTTATTATCAAAATTCTCTTTTGGGGGGCAAGGGGTGATCACATGATGTTTCACAAAGATATTGATCTTACCCATGTCAACATCTTCAGTAACATCTTCTTGAACATCTTCTAGCTCCAGTGTGTTTGATCGTTTTAAGGTCAACTGAAAATCAATGAAAGACAATTTACAGGTTATAACAAGGGAGTATTAAAGTGAAAAGAAAATGTTATACAAAATTATGCTTGACTTACTGTTTTTGGTACAGGTGTTGCAAGGCTAGAAAAATAATGACAAAGATGAAATCAAATATTAGAAAATGATAGTGTAGAAGGTTTACATACTAGCAGAACTGAGAACACTCAGGGTGGGGTGGTACCCTCTTACATGGGCTGTGTAGGGGTGTGCCGCTGGACAGGGTATGCATTTTTGACATTTAAGTCTGGAATGGAATAAAAAAATGTGATTCACTGGTCTGGAACAGGGTGTCATTTTCCCAAAATTAACACGCATCTCGCTTAGACAACATTAGCAATGGAAATATGCCAATAAGGAGTTTCATTAAGGACCTATTTTGCCTGCCTGGTTTGACCATCTAGCAAAAAGTTTTTCTCATAAAGCAGTTTAGTTCAAGCAGTTTTGCCCGCCTGTGAAAAAACAGTCACCCTCATGCTGAAATGATAAATGAAAGCTCTTGTCAATATCAGATGAAGGAACTCTCACAATCTCTCAGGGTGAACTATCAGAGATTGACCAAGCTACTACCACCTGCCACAGATGGTACTGGACCCTGGCGATTGAACAGGACACACACACACTGTTCTCGGCACACCCTTCCCAATTTTTTGGTGTATACCCTTCCCTCCCCTGAGTGAGAGCATAACACCGAGAAATTCATCAAGTTAAGAACAAGGAAATTGATCACTGTGGAACATTTTGATGTTAATTCAAAAATTCCCTGTTTTTGTCAGTTTTGTTGGGAGTATAAAAAATATAGGTATATATCATAAACTCAGGAAAGCGTTTGGTGACAGTTCCAAATCCATGCATTTCTTCCTAAAAACACTCTGTTGTTAAAAGTTTTCCAATCTCATTTGATATAGTTTATATCCAAAATTTAATATTGACAAATAGCAAATAAGTGAGGTAAAGTAAATTTTCAACAAAATTGTTACAAAAAAATGTAATTTCCTGTTTTGCCTCAGAAATTTTATGAATGTATAGTACCAAAAAAATTTATAAATACTTCTTATATTAGAGGGTTCATCTTCCCCAAAATTTTCCATTGATACAGTCTGCCAGGAGAGGTGGTTAAGGAAGGGGGGGGGGTGAGGGTGGTTAGGACTAGTCCACTGCACATTAGTGGTTTGTACTTCTATATAACTGGTGGAGAAGAGGGGTACTGGGAGAGAGTAAAACTAAGTTATTTACACAAGAATACAACATAGTGACCCTGATCAGGGCTATGGCCTTTGCCCTCTTGACCCAGAGTCACAATAACTACAAGGCCATCAATCCGCTAACAAGGGGTACCAGACAGGATAATCAGAGAAAAAATGTTTTAGAGGCGAAAATGAAATGGAAAATATTCCCCATAACAATACCAACCTTTTTAAAGCCCACTAACACAGGTTAATCTGCCGTGAAAGTGATATGACCCCCCCTCCCCCACCCTACTGCCTCCCCCCTAAAAAAACCTTCAAATTTGTACCCAAACAAATTCTTTGCACCTCCACTCTGGGTAGTTTCAAAGTTTGAGTTATATTACATTACATTAGTAATCTATAAGTTATAATTGATTTATTAGTTCTAACCTCTTGTCAAAAACTTTTGTCCATCCATCTTCAGAATTCTTTGACATGCTCCTCATGGATATATAAAAAAAACAACACACTTACAATTTGTTACAATTTCTTCTAATTTGTTCTATGTGCAATTGGTTGAGATGTCAAGATGCATTTAAAACCTTAGGTGACAAGTTGGTGTAGATGTTATGCATTTAAAGTCAGGATACTTTCACAAGTTTCTCTAATTAAGACCAAAACACTCAAATGAACTGCTATTAAGCTTAATTCACAATTCTTTCATTGAGCTTAACTGCATATATAATAACTATTAAGTCGAATTCTCCAATTCACCTGTCGTTTACCTGTCTACAAACTCTCCTTTTCACTGTTAATGCCTTCAGCAATAACATTAATTAATCCTTGGCCAAATTTATAGAGCGCAAGTGCCTCTCCTCCTTAAACTATTTTACACGACATTCCACGATCCCGTTACATGAAATGTATCTTCACGAGTACAAAATCCTTTGTTTTAAGTGATGACTCTATATCTTCACACGACCACCATGCATATCCATTTTTCTTGGCTATAAACATGGAGACTACTTCGCACTCTTCGTACGTAACCAGACGCCATCTTTGTTTCCATGCAGTTGTTATGTCATTAAAACCCAGACCCCCTCACTCTCTAAATGCTTTGTCACCCTTACCGTGCTCTTTACAATGTTTTTTCATGATTAGCATAAACAAGAGGAAATATTTTCTCTTGGCATAAATCATTAGCATAAATTTACCAAAAGTGTATTCTCAAATACCGGTACTTGGTAAAAATAATATAGAGCGATATTGTACAGTTTTTTTGTACAGTTTTTTTGTACAGTAGAAAACCTGTTTGCCGGACAGGTCGGCGCGCGCACGCAAAACTGTCACACTCTCCCTCT